CAGAACTCAACAATGCTTCCTTATGCCTAAAAATCCATGTTTTATCGATACAATCAACATCTCGATCATATTAATTAATTAGTAACAGGTAACAAATACGCAGAAACAATTTCATCACATCTACATTGTATTCTTAACGGGTCGATTTCGAATAACCATTAACCAATAATCGTTGTGATGATACGTCATGTGTTCCTGATCATCATCAGCAATGTCAAGAGACAGGAGCGGCGGTTGCTTTAAATCAATGGTTTATGTTCGACCCCTGTTGACGGAAAATTCGGGAATTGAAAATGTTAACTAATATAACACGAGAAAATCGGGACAGGAATATATTCAAGGCACAGCACCATGAAAATGACCAATGTTCAAAGTGAGACGTGAGTTGGGCGACTGACATGGTGGAAACACTTAGAATGATGCCGTTGCAATTGTCTTATCAGTTTTATGTATAAAAACCTTGTGTTATGTGGCAGTTGTATTGCAATTTTTGCAATTTCAGTTGGGCAGCTTTTTTTAAGTGTCTGGTATTTATTTCAATTTTCGTAAACGTACTACCTGGGAATATTATGAGCTAAAAAGGTGACAATTTTTGGTTATTACTAGCACTTTGCAAATCCAGCAGATTTACTTTCGTAAAATATTTTGTTAACGATTTCTAATAAAATTCAAGTTGCGCTGCTGGTGTGGCTAAATGTTAAAAGTGAGTCGGCGATTGGTACAGTATAAATGGAAAAGACAACTACTTTTTATATTAATTATATAATGATTTATTTTATTAGGTTACTTATTAATTTATTTGAGAAATAATCTGGAAGTATTATCGGCATATTTTCACACATATATGACTACGAGCACATACACAGTGGCCAATAAGCTGTACACAGCAGGGTTTTAGCGTAATAATCGATATTTTAGAATGTTCTAGTTTAAGTGTAGAATAGCCATAAGAGCTGAGTGTAAGATTAGGTAGGATTAGTGTATAGCTTTTGTATGGTTTTGCGGAGTAAGACACGCGTTAGTCGGGTGCATTAGTTAGCAATGTGTGGCCAATTGCAACAGCTTATTCTACTGATAGAATATATCGACCAATGGCAGCAGTTTTAATTAAGATTACGCTAAAACATGGATTTTTAGGCATAAGGAAGCATTGTTGAGTTCTGAAACCAAGTTTAATCGATTTCTCGTGCGATTTTAGGTCAGGAATGGTCATCAAAATAAATTTAAAACAATGACGATATTTTGGTAAATTTCTAGCTTTCTGCCAGAAAATAAATTTTCGGTTTCTATAGGGGTTTAATTAGGTATAAACACAGTACACTGTACAGCTATACTTACACCCACATTCACAATAACATAAACCCGCCACGCAAAGGGTTTATATAACAGATCATCCCGCGCTAGCGGGATGATCTGATAAACACATACGAGTGCGCGCAGCGCACGAGTTTTGTGTTAATATGTAATCCCGAAGCGCCAGCTGAGGGATTACATTTATTTAGCCCTGAGCGTGAAGTGTTTATGGATTATAATTATCTCCGGCGATTTCGACAAGGGATTTATACTTTAGAAGAGAGTGGTTGTTGACTCTAACTGTACTGTCCGGAACACGATTGGAAAGCAGTTCATCAATCTGAATGTCAAACCGATCTGTCATAGTGGAGCAATAGCTTGAACGTTAGCAGGAACAAGAGCTGGAAGGAGAGCAAGCAAAACAATACTATTTTTAGGGCACGGACAAGGGTAGCTGGCTAGTCGCCAACTTCTCACGCCACGCGTTGGAGAAATTCCAAGAATTAGCTGCTTTGGCAACGTTCCCAGGAATTTGCGTGTAAAAGAAGTGGACGGTTACGATGTTTCATATCACGTGGTGCGCTTTCGTGTCACGTGGTATAGACTCGGCGTATGCTATTGGTGGCACGTAGTACGCACGTGACGCGCCCACGTGATCGCGCGTCTAACTGTTCTACTATTATCGAGTTCTAATCAGCAGTATCATTGATTATTGTCAGTCGGAGAATTGAATGATAAACATCAGTTACGACTAAAAAGCGGGCCGGGTTTATACAAATTTCCGGGGCGGGATGATATCACTTTGAGATGTTTATCTAACAGCGGGCCGGGCTGAGTGATAATATGATCCCGCGTCGAAATCCCGGAGATATTTATATGCATGCAAGCTCACCTGGTCCAATGAGCGGGAAACGGAGAGGAAGGTCTGGTGACGTCATAGTCACGTGACCTCAGGCTCATAATCACGTGACCTCAGACCCAATCAATTGGGTTCTGGCCTGGTCAGCCCCCTGTCACCCGATCTTGAGGTAACGTACGACACCTCGTTAACTCAATCAATGTCTGGAAGGCTGCAAATTTTCACATGCCAAATCCCTAAGATTCTTAAAGAGTTGTACGAGATGACGATACATAGAGGCCGCAGAATTATGAGGACTACCAGATCCTGGTGGAACCTAAGCGATCCATGATATCACGACAGGCCCTAGGCTACCGACCCCTGCTGCTCATATCCCATCAGAATGCGATGGATGGTAGCTTTAGCCATGCCCTCTGCTATAAAGTGTTTTGCAGTAAAGCTTTTCCAGTCTGTACGACGGGTTTTGTTAGTATCGGCAAACTGTACAACTCGTAAACGAGTCTGCTCCTGGTTATGGATGGACAGAATTGATAAAATCGCGGTGGAAATAGTTTGCATATCGTTTGGAGTGACCGCTGTTTGGAATGGAATTTAAAAACTTTAATCAGATGGCACGTGAGGATTTTAAAACACGTAGTCTCATTTTTGATTCATCACCCGTTAATATTTCTTCTGCTGATCTAGAAAAGAGCTTAGTGTTCAAGATTGGGACTTTTGACACAGTGTGCTTAGACGCGTCGTTCATATTATGATCTTGTACTTTACCCCTGGCATCTCACTGGAAATGCTGGACAAGAAATTGTTGAAGGGTTAGACCTTCATATGAGAATAACTTGAGCTCTTCGATGACTTCAAAACAACTTGCTTAGCACCTGCTTGATGTGATAACATTGAGGCTACCTTTCTCAGGTAATAAGTTTGATTGCCAGGTCACAGTTCGTGGCGAATTTTTTATTCTAATGTTATATGTATTATAAAACTGGTATGACATGACAGTAAACAAGATTTGTTAGATTTAGCAACTTAAATCAACCTTGAAAAAGTCACGTGACAGTCAAGTGTAGAGTGATTAATCATCATCCCCTATGTCATGGGGGGTTATTCGGAATCAGCGTACGAAAATACATCGATCCAAGTTGGTTTCAACTGTCGGGGGCCCTTTTAAAACAATCTCGAAGATCGACTGTAAAGTGATTTAGCACGGCCATGATCGGCCCAGTGGTGCATTTCGCCGATCAACTGAAAACACTACTGTGGTTGCGAGAAGAATTATTTGATGCGCGGCGTGGCCCAGTAGTGCATCGTGATACAAGGTGTGATTTGGTGTTATTATTATTATTATCAGGTGTGATTTAGTGTTATTATTATTAATATCAGGTGTGATTTGGTACTATTATTATTGATATCAGGTGTGATTTGGTGTTATTATTATTAATATCAGGTGTGATTTGGTGTTATTATTATTAATATCAGTTGTGATTTGGTGTTGTTAATCATTAATATCAGGTGTGATTTGGTGTTGTTATTATTAATATCAGGTGTGATTTGGTGTTGTTTATTATTAATATCAGGTGTGATTTGGTGTTGTTTATAATTATTAATATCAGGTGTGATTTGGTGTTATTATTATTAATATCAGTTGTGATTTGGTGTTATTTTTATTAATATCAAGTGTGATTTGGTGTTTTTATTATTAATATCAGTTGTGATTTGGTGTTATTATTATTAATATCAGGTGTGATTATTAATATTATCAATATCAGGTGTGATTTGGTGTTATTATTATTAATATCAGGTGTGATTTGGTGTTGTTATTATTAATATCAGATGTGATTTGTTGTTATTATTATTAATATCAGGTGTGATTTGGTGTTGTTATTATTAATATCAGGTGTGATTTGGTGTTGTTATAATTAATATCAGGTGTGATTTGGTGTTATAAATATTAATATCAGGTGTGATTTGGTGTTATTATTATTAATATCAGGTGTGATTTGGTGTTATTATTATTTATATCAGGTGTGATTTGGTGTTATTATTATTAATATCAGGTGTGATTTGGTGTTATTATTATTATTATCAGGTGTGATTTGGTGTTGTTATTATTAATATCAGGTGTGATTTGGTGTTATTATTATTAATATCAGGTGTGATTTGGTGTTGTGACCCACTTCCACCCTGGGAAATAGGAAGTGTGTTTTCAGTTGTTTGATTTTCGAGGGCTCTTAATCTTTTATTCCATATCATTTGCATTGGCATATTGGTGAACAACTGTTGTTAATGGTAAATGCTGTATGTTGAAATCAGTGAATTGTTCAAAGTGTGACGTTATCGTTGTTTTATATTTTACTTCATGTTGTCGGAAGAGACTGTTGTACTGTTGTACAATACTCTGGCAATGAACAAATAAATGTATATTTCATTTTATAGTTTATTCTTTGGATGATGATTAATCACTCTACACTCGACTGTCACGTGACTTTTTCAACCCGTTCTCTAGCTCAAGCTGGCCCTGAACGACTATTCGAAACCCTAACCCTCCAGTCTGATCCCAACCCTAACCCTAACCCGATTCTTAACAAAAGCATATGCTAAAACCCTAACCCTAACGAGAAATTAGACTAACTTCCTTATAGTTATACGGTCATATCACGTGATTGAGACAGTTTTTCGCCAATATCTCGTCAGGGGAGCATTTTAGAGATTGTTCCACTGTCGTGGGCCATTTTAGAACAATCTCGAAGATCGACTGTAAAGTGATTTAGCATGCTCGTTATTCTTTATTAGTCATTATAATTCATGTTGGTCACAGAATAACTATAATAGCTTATCGAATTCAAACACTGAATTTTTAAGGAATAAAATGATGAACAAATTTTCAAAAATATCCAAAATGGCATTCAGTTGAAAGTCTGTATATTTATCTTCTAATCTAATTGTTCCCTTGTCCTCCAATGCTCCATACTCCGATCGTCCTCGCTTATACTTATTATTCATCTGAATTGTTTTATTGTTACAGTATCGTTTTAAAGATATAATTTTTAAAGATAGTTACATTTAATGGAAATGGTAATATAATTTACTTATTTTTGTATGAATTAATTTATTTTACCTAAGCTAATCTCCGCAAAAAAGCCACGGTTTCATTTTGCAATATTGATATATACGTATTAAGTGGGACGTGAACCTTCTAACCTAAATAAGTTTGGATAAATTTTTACTAAAGATACTACCTAAGGGCCAATAAATTTGGTTCACAATAAATTTGGTTATCATAATTTGAGTCACAAATTTCGCAAATTTTTAGTCTACAACAATTTTAGTTACATTTTTCGACTTTTCGAGACCATTTTCCATTCCATTTACCTTAAGAACGACAAATTTAGTCTACCCCGTCTGAGCATTACAGATTAAGTTGCAATGTATTACTTAGGAATTTCAATAACATCAGATCCAGAGTTTGTGACTCTGTGCCACTAAGTTCTTCAGTACACTGTTCAGTTTCTTTTTCACCCTTTTTCGCTTTTACCATTTTTGTTGAAACGACGTAATTTATGTCGATATGATCCCTCAGCCGTTTCAACAGACCATGAATTGGGATGGACCGATTAAAAATGTAATGTCCAAGAGGAGCTCTAACCCTTTAAATGCAATAGCTGAATTTGGTTCGGTTTTGTGCAGAAGGAATGGTGATGTCATATATTAATTATAAACAATGTTAGCTTAATAATATGTCATGATCATATTTGGTCTGCTGAAATTTGGTCTGCTTTAAAATTAGTCCCCGAAAAATTTAGTCTCATTGTCATGAAATTTGGTTAACAACAATTTTAGTCAAAAGTTTGACTAAATTTATGGCAGACTAAATTTGTCGTTCTTAAGGTAACTCGTTAATGGCAAAAGGGGCTCAAGCTGTAATCTTACCTGAATTGCACTTGCAGACCGAATCATTTCCCAAAACCCTCACCTCACAGAGGGTCAGAGGGACTTGATTGCGACCGGTTATCCTGACCACACTTCCAACAGTGTTGGGAGGACATTTAACCGCGTAGTTTTCAACCCCCATTAGATACTCCACTGCCCCACAGAACTGATCATCCACGAACACCTACAGATGGGAGATTTAGCATAAAATAAGTGAAATCGTGGGATTTGAAAGTGCTCGGTGTTGTTTTATGATTCGATAATCTGTAAAATAAGGAAGCAATGTTTCGTACGATGACTGACAACCTATGACCAGTGACCGAACTTTTGAGGGGGTCCCGGACCCCAACCGCCAAACGGTGCCCCCGGGGCAGCCACGCCCATATTTGGTCCAAATTAGGCCCAATTTAGCCAAATACCCTGAACATGCCCAAAATCCAGATTGTAGGTGCTCTACTTGTAGGTTGTGGTCCCTTGAACTCGTTTATGAATTTTAATCAATATTGGACAAAAAATGACTGAGTTATGAGCAAAAAACCATATGACCATAGTTGGGCATACGCACCAAATTTGATCGATTTTGGCCCATAAATTGGTCAAATATCAATATTTTTGAATGAAACTAACTTTATATGGAAGTTAAGCCTATACTACACATTATCTATGATTATCAGCTCAGTATCTACCTAACTGTGGATTCAGTGTTCAAATAATAGCAAAAAATGAACAAAATTGCCCATATCTCAGTTCGCGATATTTGCAAAACTGATTTCGCTCAAAACAATTTAGAACTCAATAGGGTTTCAATATTTTTACATGAAATTTTCAGAATCAACGTAGAATCGCATTTCGACCATAAGTTTTGGGACAGAATTTTGAGTTAGGCCTTTAAAAAAATTTGGCAGTCAAATTCTGAATTTCGCATTGCAAATTTTGGAATTTTGATGAAAATTCATATACGAGTTCAGTGGACCACTAGCTACAAGTAGAGCACCAAAAATCTGAATTTTGGGCATGTTCAGGGTATTTGGCTAAATTGGGCCTAATTTGGACCAAATATGGGCGTGGCTGCCCCGCGGGCACCGTTATTCGTGCAAACACAGGAAACCTTATCCAAAGGGGCATTTTGGGGGTCACGAAGGCGCATATCTCGAGACTTAAAGATCACACTTAATTCAAACTTTTCATGCAGTTGTATGGTCAGGAGACGGATAATCGGTGAAATTTTGGGCCAATTTTAAGCAGCCGAACTTGAGATATTCGTGCAAACACAGGAAACCTTATCCAAAGGGGCATTTTGGGGGTCACAAAGAAGGCGCATATCTCGTGAAGAGTTGAACCGTCAAAGTTTTTACCACCTGATCAACTTTCAATCATTTGTTTTGTCTAAGTATTTAATAATATAATAATATGATAATATGATAATATGATAATATGATAATATGATAATATGATAATATGATAATATGATAATATGATAATATGATAATATGATAATATGATAATATGATAATATGATAATATGATAATATGATAATATGATAATATGATAATATGATAATATGATAATATGATAATATGATAATATGATAATATGATAATATGATAATATGATAATATGATAATATGATGATATGATGATATGATGATATGATGATATGATGATATGATGATATGATGATATGATGATATGATGATATGATGATATGATGATATGATGATATGATGATATGATGATATGATGATATGATGATATGATGATATGACGATATGACGATATGATGATATGATGATATGATGATATGATGATATGATGATATGATGATATGATAATATGATAATATGATAATATGATAATATGATAACATGATAACATGATAACATGATAACACGATAACATGATAACACGACAATATGATAACACGACAATATAATAACACGACAACACAACAACACAACAACACAACAACACAACAACATAATAATATAATATAATTTTCATATTATATTATTTCTAACCTTAACACCATTGATCCGATTATAGTAGCCATCCAATCTGTTGGATATCACAACATATGCCACTTGAGCGCTACCTGACTTCATCTTAGCCTCCCACGAGACGTTATCCTCGTTGTCATCCGTGTGTGTGCAGGAAAGACTGAGATATAAAATAAGGTCCGATAAGGTAACACAAACAAGGACAGTGTAGAAGCGGTGGGTTTAGTCCTACGAACCAGAGAGTACGTGAATTTTCAATTGAAGCTGAGTCGATTCTCAGCTTGGTGACTGACCAATAATTGCAACAGACCCCCTCTGTGTGGGAGGAGATCATGTTACCACTACACCACCCAGTCGGCGAACTTTTAAATTAATCCTACCCACTTCTAATTTTAAATAATTGAAATTCTGTATAATGTTAATTATTTTCAAGATTACAACTACATATATTGTGAATTCAATAAAAATAATTGATGTTTTTAATCTTTGCATCCTCGTACAAGCTTGCATTCACATTTAAATTTTATGTTGTCAATTCATCAATTTGCAAACAATTGCTTTACATCGCTCAATCAGAGTACTACATCTTACCCGGAATGATATTGGCCATCTCGGTTACCGTCTATTGCTCTGGATGCTACTCCGTCTTTGTAAGTAGAACTTTGTTTAGCATCGTACAAAGGAATCCTGTCGAACATGTCCAACACCGGATTGATTTCTTCACTTTTCCTTCTATTAGTTTGCGCTTCAAGACTTGCCTGCATTCGCTCCCATGTAGATTTTTGGGTAAAGAAACCTGAAAACAAGCAATGAATAAACTTGCTATGCTTTATATCTCGGTCATCTGTGCAGCTAAAATATCAGGGCACATGTAAACTCAAGTTCGGCAGTCGACGTTCTCTTGCTGAACTTTAGTACGTGTCGGACAAGAGTCTTGGCAGCGCACTTGAGTTTATAAATACTAATCAAATACAGTAATTAGTAATTACTTGATTAAAAACAATCGTGCCACTTGGCACTTACCATTTGCCCCGAGTACACAGATCATTGCAAGAGTGATAAAAAAGAAGCGTGCCATCTCGCCGACTTGTTTTTCAAAACTTTCCTAATCGAAATGGGTAATTCATTATTTTTAATCCATAGTATTTCAACTTAAATACTTAATTAAGTAAACTTTAACGGTTTCTGCTCAGTCACAGTGTTCAAACTCCTAGGAAGGTGTATCTGATGTCCCTATAGCTCTATAGTCTATAGCGTATCGAGCAGAAAATTCCCACAAGGCCTTCTACCAGTGGTGGATGGCTATTTCTTATTTTATTCTATCTGCGATTGTTCAAATCCAATATAAAATGTACAACATCGAATAAATTGTCTAGAAATGCTAAATTAACTGCTGAGGGAATGAAAACCGCCTAACATGAAAACCCCCAACAGGCAACGTTACGCCACTGATCCCACTTACGCTGTATAACGCGGATTTTGGATGAAAATGTATCGTAAAATATCCTACTTCGACATTTAATTCCGAACTAAGGACCGGGTGTGTACTGTGTAACTTAGGTATGGGTACGTGAGATATCTAATGAGATACTTGCTGTAAGGCCCGATATTCAACTCTAATGACCCCTATGAGACCCTTTTGTTTATTATCCTATATCTGAATCTCAGATTAAAGTCATTTAAATCGAAATTTGCCTGAGATAAATGAGGTTTTGCAAAAATTAAAACGTTGCTCCAGTAAGTGTTGCTTTATTTTACGATGACAATTATGAATTAAATATCGACTTATCGAGGAAAGAGCTGATATAATAAATCAAAATGACAATGCTGTAGCTGCCCAAGAAAAATTATGAACCAATCTAACGCAGTATCGCATCTATAACAACTTGAAGATGCAACTTGAACTTGTATACAACTTGTAGTACAAATACAAGCTATTGCCAAAAACAAAGTGCCGTTCACTCATGGTGCCGTTCTCCGATGCGTAAAACTTTTGTTAAGTAACATTTTGTACATACCCCATCCTGTGTATTTGTATTAGAGATTCCTTAAGTCAAAGGCAAGCTGGTTGAGAATAGACGACTTCAAGTCTCCGTCGTACTCCGTTTTATCGATTCGCATCAACATTCTACCTGGATATAATAGCTTATAATGTTACTGTTAGTTATATCGTACATAACGTCACAATACACAGGGTGTTCACGATACATCGGAACGGTTTCGTACTCCGTTTTATTGATTCGCATCTAACAGTAACACATTGGACATACCTTATCGGACGTTATTTGACCGGATATTTTGTGAACGGATATAATTTTGAACGAACGTTAAAATGAAAGCTAGGGCCTCCAGCGTCCAATTAATGTCCGTTCAAATAAATTCCGATAATGTAATAATACCTTAAGAACGACAAATATAATCTACCATAAATTTAGTCAAACTTTTGACTAAAATTGTTGTAAACCAAATTTCATGTGACCAAATTTTTCGGCGAATAATTTTGAAGTAGACCAACATTTTTGTAGAGCATATATGAATTACATTTTACTGAGCTTACATTCTTAATCTTTATCAAATTTGTATGATAAACAGTTGACTATCGCTAACTGTACACAGGTCCCTACTGCGTGTAATAAGAAATTGTATGCTATGATATGTAACTAATGTATGTAATGTTGGCTCGCCGTTGGAATGTTCCCAGATCGAGAATATTCTTAACGGGTGATACTCTTAAAATATCTGTTCCAGGACCGTCGACGAGTCCAACTCGGCGCGCGTCCTGGTAGGTTATAAACCTACAAGAATACTCCTCCTTACCAAAATACGGGTAGTAGTATATAGTAGTAGTACTAGTAGTAGATAGTGTAATAAGGGTGTCCGACAACCCAACTGAACCTAGTTCCCACACAGTTAATGGGGCACCTAGTCAGCTTAATTGGGTGCCAAATCAGCGTAAATCCCAAAACGACAACTGAACTTAGGTCATATTACAATTGCACCGGAATACGACAACTGAACCAGAATATTTGTAGATCAGACTTTCAGGTTAGTTATGGCGAGCTGGCTCAGATCTTGAGTCTTCTGATGCTTTAGGAGGGTCTGTCATGGTTCGGATCTCGTGACTTGGGTCGGATCTCGATACTTGAGGTTCTCAAGCCTTGAGGAGCATTGGCTCGCTTCGTGAAAAGGTACACTTGTTAGCTCAGATCTCGCAATCGAAAATACACAAGGGAGAGAGATGGTGGTCACAGTATCGAATCGTGTCCTTTATACCAACAGAGCCAAACAACCCGGTAGCTAAGAAATCAGAGTTCAGAACAAAGTTAAAGTGGAAAGCTGCCGACCAATACCTCTCAGTCACCCGAAACCTCCTCACCGAAGCCTTATCTAGTTATCTACATGCCCACCAGAAATCAACGTGAAGCTACCTCCAAGAGAAGGAGGAACACAAGCTCTAACCTTGAGCTACCTTATCGGACCTTATTTGGACGGACATTACTTGAACGGACATAACTGTGAACGGACATTAATATGAACGCTAGAAGGCAATCAAAACCATCAAAAATCCAAATTTTTTTCATCTTTTTTTTACGTTTTTTAAATTTTAGCAAATTATTTTTCAATATATTTTTCATACAGTAAGTAAGAAAGGCAGCCTTTAATCAGTAAACATGTTAAAATATGTGTACATCAACATGGTTATTGTCTAATATCACATATCATCTTCATCAAATGGGTTTTAGGGCATTAAATATTCCATGCTTAAAGCATCAGTAATAACCGCTTTTTGGAAACCTTTTTTATCAAACTACCTCGGTCCTGCATTTCAGTGTAAACTTTTACCACCCATTCGGCGTGAAGTGGTTTTTATCTTAGACAACTTTAGGTTAACCTTAACATCACGTGGAGCTTTCCCAGCACTTATCTGTTTCATTACCTCTCCTGTCCTCCTGAGTAATATGAACTATAACAACGTCGGACAATGTCCTTGGTAACACGATTTACCATAATATCTAGAGGATGTAATTACATCCTCTAGATATTATATTTCTCGTTAACGAGAAACAAGTTTGACATGTTGGCGGGGACTAGCTAATGAACAATGTTGTTGAGTGCCATAATTTCGTTGACTTTTTCCGTCAAGTGACGCTTGAAAACATCATATACTAGAAAAGTCGTCTGTGCCTCCGGCAGACCAAGGAGAACCTTTTCGTCGTTAAGATACGACACTATGATGTTCTTGATAAAATTTATTGTTGTGGATTCATTTGCCCAATGTTTCTCGTTAAAAATAACCTCAAAGTCTTTCGGAAATGTATATTTAGGAATAAGTAGTGATTGCTTTGTTTTTCCCTCGTAGATCAACTGCATGGGCAAAAACATTTAGATCAAGATAGTGGTCATGCCATATAATGTGATATTTACAATTTAGATCTTTAAAATTGTATAATAACTTGTTTCCATTGATTCAACGATATAGTTTAGTCTAATGATAGCTATTGAAATTGAATGAAATTAAAAGTTGTCATATTCTGGACATAAAGTTCGAAATGGAAACATTTTCAAAAAAATTCAACGGACTTTAACTTGGACGGACATTAATTGAACGGACTTTATTTGAACGGACATTAAGGTGAACGCTAGGGCCTCCAGCGTTCAAGTAATGTCCGTCCAAATAAGGTCCGATAAGGTATATACACTCATTGTGATCTGTTTGGACTAAAGAGAGAGTTCATATTTTCATACGACAATGTAATGCGTGTTTTCGAATATACATAATAGGCGGGTTTATACTTTTGCATTTCAACTGCGATAGTGAAGTCCCGGCCGTAGGCACGAGTTACACTAGTAACTTATAATGTTAGAATGTACATATAACTTCACAATAGGGGTCGTTCACATATTACGTAATCAGCCGAGGGGGTTTTCCAAATCATTACGCTAGAGTAATTTTGACAGAATAGCTATGTGTAAAATTGATAAGGGAGGGGGGGGGGGTTTAAACATCTGTAGACTAGATTACATTATCGGTCATAATTACCACGGACATTACTTTCACGCTGAAGACATTAACATGATTAATTATGTCCGTGAAAATAATGTCTATGGCATTAAGGTCCGTGAATAATAAATTCCGGTAATTATTTCCATTAAATTTAATTTTAGTACGTGTGTCCCTACATATGCGCAGATATGTGTGTAGCCGATTGGCGAATACTATATTAGCTTCTTAGTATACTAGGCTTAGTTGTAGTGAACGGTGGATTTTGACGTATTGAACGCACGTTCAGTCATTTTGTAGTGAACGTTATTAAACGTTAGTGAACGTCAGTGATTATCAAACCAACGTCAGTGATTATCATGAACCAATCTAACGCATTATCGCATCTGTAACAACTTGAAGATTCAACTTGAACTTGTATACAACTTGTAGCACAAATACAAGCTATTGCCAAAGACAAAGTGCCGTTCACTCATGGTGCCGTTCTCCGATGCGTAAAACTTTTGTTAAGTAACATTTTGTACATACCCCATCCTGTGTATTTGTATTAGAGATTCCTTAAGTCAAAGGCAAGCTGGTTGAGAATAGACGACTTCAAGTCTCCGTCGTACTCCGTTTTATCGATTCGCATCAACATTCTACCTGGATATAATAGCTTATAATGTTACTGTTAGTTATATCGTACATAACGTCACAATACACAGGGTGTTCACGATACATCAGAACGGTTTCGTACTCCGTTTTATCGATTCGCATCTAACACATTGAACATACCTTATCGGATGTTATTTGACCGGACATTTTGTGAAAGGAAATAATTTCGAACGAACATTAAAATGAAACGAGGGCTTCCAGCGTCCAATTAATGTCCGCTAAAATAAAGTCAGATAATGTAATAATAGTAGATAGTGTAATACTAATAAGGGTGTCCGACAACCCAATTGAATCTAGTTCCCATGCACGCAGTTAACGGGGCACCTAGTCAGCTTAATTGGGTGCCAAATCAGCGTAAATCCCAAAACGACAACTGAACTTAGGTCATATTACAATTGCACCGGAATACGACAACTGAACCAAAATATTTGGTTCAGGAGCTTTGGAATTGGATGGCTTCGTTAGCAAGGTACGCTTGTTAGCCTAGGTCTCGCGATCGATAATACACAAGGGAGAGAGATAGTGGTCACAGTATCGAATCATGACTGTCTTTAGCAAGGACATCAATGGACAAACAGGAGCTCAACTAATTGATAATTCTGAACACAGACGTTTCCTTGAAGTTATGATGTTAGTATGTACATATAACTTCACAATAGGGGTCGCTCACATATTTCGTAATCAGGGGGGTTTCCAAATCATTACGCTAGACTAATTTTGACAGAATAGCTATGTGTAAAATTGATAAGGGAGGGGGTGGGGGGGGGGGGTTTAACATCTGTAGACTAGATTACATTATGACTATGTCTCCTATCGCACAGCTTGTGCACAATGGATTTGAAATAGGGTGATTCGAAAATATGACATAGAAATTGTTTGTAAAAAAACGGGCTTTATAGTTGTTTAATGGGATCCATTAGATAGATGGAATATGATGATTTGAAAATCTGACATAGAAATTGTGTGCAAAAGGTCCGGGTGTGGTAACCCTGACCTATCCTAGCTGTGTGCTACTATATTCCTAATAAGGTTTGTGTTGTGGTGGGCTTTCCTGGTAAAAATTTCCGTGTTATATGGTCCTGGGTTTTTGGGTGACAACTTTGTTTTATAGTTGTTTAATGAGATCCATACGATAAATGGGGATATGACCGGCAGTCTGACAAGCCAATCAGGATAACTGATCAACTGTTTCACTTTGTTCCAGGAATCTAATTATAAGAAGATATGACCGGCAGTCTGACAAGCCAATCAGCCATCAGGATGACTAGTCAATTATTTTACTCTAATCCCGGAACTAATTACATGAAGACATGACCGGCAGTCTGATAAGTCGATCGGGATATCAATTAACATCTCAATTAACATCCGTGCAGGGTTGTTAACTAATGTCTAGGAGACGGGATATTCAGTGCTGATAGAGGTAGTGATCGCTATATAAACCAAGAATTTTACAGCTAACATTAACTATTTGCTTACATATTATTCGTTTGAATTCGTTGGTTGAATTATCGAATCTTGAAACAACCGATTGTCAGTTTGTTTCTCTATTGGCCGTTATGACTGAGCGTCCCTGGCATTACGGTCCTTCTATGACCTATAAGTTAAGTGGTGATTATGATAATGCCCTTGCGGAGGTTTCCAAGGCTATTTGGCGTGCTCGGGATACCTATTCCATTAAGGCACTTTTGACAGTTTATACCACGAATGGTGTCCGCTATGTTTCCAGTCCCTTGATGATTGATTATCTTATACCTTTAGGAGTAGTATTGATGCTCAACTAGAGCTTGCCTTGGTGGATGCGGGAAATGCAGGTGTGTTCGATTTTATAAACACTACCTCTTATAATTTGAACCTCGGAGAGATAAAGGATCCGAGTCATCAGTGCCCAGCGTGTTAGAAGTGGTTTGTTCGGAATTTTAAGAGACATCTGGAAGTGTGTGGTAAGGGTAAGTGGTGTACAGTTTGCCTTACTCATCCTGATGATTTGGAAACTCATCGTTTGGTATGTGAGGGGGATCTTTTCCCATGTCAGGTATGTAGTATGGTTTTCCAGAGTAGGGAGCTTAGATTGGAGCATGAGACGATTTGCAGAAGACCTGATAGTAGCGCGACAGCCAGGAACGTGAGACCTAGAGTGGAGACAAGTGGGACAGCTGAAGAGAGTTCCTTGGGAGACCAGACGGTAACCAGTATCACGGCCATAGATGGATTATTTCGTAAATTCTCTTTATCTCCTCCTCTTAAAATTGGTACCGATTTTCAAGGAGCTTTGAAGAAATCGTTTCCCAGATTGACTGATATTATTGAATGTAATCATGGAACTGGTATAAAGTTCAATTTGGAATTGAATGTAACCCTCAGCAAGTTGGTCACCGGAGACATCGTAGCTAGAACGTTTGATAGCGAGATGATACCATTACTTCTCACAGATCTCATTGCTCCAGCTCTCCAGACCCATAGCAACAACATCAGTGATCGGGTAGACAGGCTCATCAGAGATGGGAGTGGATGGGCGGTACACGAGATAATCTCCGTCTCGATTAACATTACCAGGTAAGAAATATTATTGACCCTTTTACAGATATATCTTTTAACTGAAATTTCATGGATATACCTCATTCGCAAAATTTAATGATTTATATTATCTTCCTTAACTGATTTTTCTTGGTTATATTAAACTCGTCCTTGTAACGGTATATTAGAACCAGACAGGCACAATATTTCATTCGTAAAAATTTAATGTTTTATATTTCAGGTATAACCCGTTAGCAGGTAACAGCTGGATGGAGTTGCCTAAACCCATCAGACATAAGACCTACGCTCTTCTCAACATCAAGAACATGAACGATGATCGCTGCTTGGAATGGGCTCTAGTTGCAGCTCTCGAACGTCAGCGGGGATTTCCTAGAGGGAATAACCGTCTTCGCGTTGGTCGCTATCAGAAGAGCAGCGTGAAGATAAATATGACTGGTATCTCCACCCCTACTCCAATCAGTGAGGTGAGAATTTTAATTAGTGCTATCAGTGATTTTCAAATTAGATGAGAAATAGCTATTTGCAAACTAAGGTAACGGAGTTGAACGTGCACGTGCACATGTAAAAATTTGCTAACGAAATTTTAATCGGTTTTGCGGTGATTTCATTGTTTTCAGTGTAAGTTATAATTTTTACCAGTTGCATCTTCAATCATAACGGATATTTTCTGACGCGATAAAAAGTGACTTTTAGGAATACTATTAACTTCCTACCTGTGTCCGGGCTTTCTAGTTTAGTTTAGAATCAAATGTCGCCGGCTTTGCAAGCTAAACAACTCACCCACTATTTGTTTCAGATTGGTAAGGTTGAGAAGTTGAACGACGTTTCGATCAATGTTTTTGGATGGGATGATGGGACGATTTTGAAGGGAGAACCGAGCAAGCTTAACCAGGGATTCTACCCCATCAGACTCTGTCAGAATCCTAACAGTGAGACGTGCATCAACATTCTGCTGGGGGAGAACGACAGGACGAGCCATTGGGTCTGGATACAGGATCTCTCAGCACTATTATGTGGACAGAGCAAGAATACTCATGCAAAATTTTGTTGTGTTAGATGTTTGAGAGGTTTCACAAGAAGTGACCTTTTGGATAATCATGAAAGAGATTGTTCTAAATTGCAAGCACAGCGAACCATCATGCCCGATGAAGTTAAACAGCGTGATTATCCAGTAGGAAGTATAAAGCAGAAGAAGACGACAAAGGAGCAGCTCACGTTAAAGTTCAACAGTTGGAGGAAGACGATAAAACATCCGTTCACGATCTCCGCTGACATAGAGTGTATCCTAGTGCCGCGGGAGGTAGACGAAAACGGAGCTACAGTGAAGATCTCAGAGCACATCCCCTGCACGGTATCGTACAAGCTAAATAGTCACCTAGCTGGGTTTGAAGATGAGGCTGTAGTTATTTTCCATGGACCAAAATGTGTCGATGAGTTCTTGGAAGCCCTTGATTTATTGTATGAGCGGCTCAGACCCTGGATGGAGATGAATGAGCCAATGGAGAAGGTAGACCAGGCTACCATGGATCGTCTCAATGCTTATCCAAATTGTGTTATTTGCAAACGTAAACTTATTGAAGATAAACATCTCGATCACTGTCACTACACTGGCAAAGTTTTAGGTTACACTCATCCACTATGCAACCTAGAACGTCAAACACCAAAGTATTTACCCATTTTCTTTCACAATCTTAAAGGATACGACTCACACATGGTTATTGGAGGTATTGCAGATCGTGTTGATGATCCTTGGGATATCAATGTTATCGCCAAGGCTATGGAAACATATACAGCATTCAGCACTAAAAAGTTCAGGTTCATTGACTCATGTGCTCACCTCAACTCCTCTCTAGAGAAACTTGTGTCTAATCTTCATTCGTCAGGACCTGGAGCCTTTAAACCTGTCGAAGACTTCCTTCAGCAGAAGTTTGGTTCTGTGCAACCTGAGAAACTAAGGGGTGTACCCCTACTCCTACTTCAAGACCTTCGAGACCTTTGAGGAGACTGAACTACCTCCCATTACGGCTTTCTACAATGACCTGAACGATGAACCCTGCTCGGAGGAGGACTATGCTCATGTGCAGAAAGTCTGGAAGGTGTTTGGTTTGGAGAGTCTCAAGGATCTGGTATATCTCTACATAGCCTCTGATGTCCTACTCCTCGATTCAGTGCTACAACAGTATAGGATAGAGTGTATAAATTCTTATGATCTTGATCCTGTTCATTATTATACTGCACCAGGTCTAACATGGGATGCAGGATTAAAGTATACTGAGGTAGAGCTAGAATTATTGGATGATCAGGAAATGTATACTTTTATCGAGCAGGCTATCCGTGGTGGCATTAGCACCATTACTCATCGCTATGCTAAGGCTAACAATCATAATCTTCCAGACTTTGATCCTTCTAAACCAGGGACGAAAGGAAATCGCGGCATGTACGGAATCGCGATTTTTCCCATTATTTGCGACAAATTTTATGTATAGTTTAATGTATAGTCTGTTAAAAATCGCGGTATCGCGATTTTTGGCCAAAATAATCGCGAAATCCTTTTGTCCCTGTTCTAAACCTGAAAGCTACCTTTCCTATATAGACGCAAACAAGTTATACGGATGGGCTATGTGTCAGAAGCTTCCGATATCGGGCTTCAAGTGGCAGAAACCGGGTAAACTTCTCACCGTCGACGACATCATGGCTTGGGATCCGAATGGTGACGTGGCTTACTTTGTCGAGTGTGATACAGATATGAAACCCGAGGATCACGACAAATTCAACGATCTACCTCTATTCCCTGAATCTCTGGTGGTGCAGGATAGTATGGTATCAAATGCAACTCGTAAGGCAATGGAGAGGAGAGGGGTAAACTCCGTTGCTCCTTCTAAGAAGCTTGCTCCAAACCTCTTTCCTAAGATTAAGCATAAGATTCATGTAGCAGCATTGTAGTATTACATTTCAATTGGTGGTGTTTGTACCAAGATTCATAGAGTTATAGAATTTAAGCAGTCTGATTGGTTAAGGAAGTACATTGGATTTAACACCAAAAAACGACAGGAGTCTACTTCAGAGTTTGGTAAAGCTGTCTTCAAACTACTGAACAATACTTTCTTCGGGAAGAGTATGGAGTCGGTGAGGCTTAGAGTGAACATCAGACTGATACGGAACGGCAGGCAACATCGCTTTCAGACTAGTAAACCTGGATTCAAGAGGTTTTGCATTTTCTCTGATAAACTGGTTGGACTAGAACTTGTTAAGCCTGTTATCGTGTTAGATAAGCCGATTTAGCTATTTTAGACTTGTCAAAATTGTTAATGTATAGATTCTGGTACGATGTGCTCAAGGTTAAATATAGTAACATTAAATTATGTTTTACGGATACAGATAGTTTCTTATATTGGGTTGAAACTGCCGATCTGCATAAAGACTATCAGGATATGGCCAGTCATTTTGACACTAGTAATTACCCTACTGATCACCCCCTATTTGATTTAACTAACAAGGCAGTACCGGGCTTAATGAAAGATGAATTTGCGGGTAAGTTTGCCTCTGAGTTTTGTGGATTAAGAAGTAAATTATATAGCTGTAAAGTTCATGAAGCTGATGGTAAGATGGCCGCAGCAGGGGTTAAACATAAAGTAGCTAGACGTCACTTATTACATGAGAAATATAAAAGTGTTTTGTTCGGTGGAGAGGAAGTGAGGGTTAACCAAACCACCCTTAGAAGTTATAATCATACAATGTATACTGTTAAGCAGAGAAAATGTGCACTTTCTGCCATTGATAACAAGAGATATATCACCTAATTAACAATAGTTCCAAATAAATGGCACATTAAATTTTCGTTGAATTGGCATGGAGTGAATTATTCTGATATTATACATTTGTTTCAAATAGATTGTGTAGATGATGATGGTTATTTTTGCAGGGATAGCTAAAGCTTTTAATTTCTGTAATTAACGCGGCAAATTTCAATATTAAAGTAAAATTCGTTTTAGACAAAGGAATTCTAAGATCTATAAGCAACCATTTTTCGATAATCATCAATCAATGTGATTTTTTACTATAATTCAATATAAAATGTAAATAAACTTTTTCAAACATATATTATATTAAAGTATGGATCAAGAAGTAAAGTTACCATATTTATAATTATATAATTTTATCAACTACAATCTACATGCATCTACGTAGATAAAACTTAGAATTAAACTGAATCGTACTGTCCACAATATATGCTGGAATCTAAAATAACTTGTACTTGGGAACCACTTCAATTTCAATGTCCAGTTTGTGTCCAGGACCGGGGAAAGAGGAAGCATCCTCTGACACGTATATGGCATAGTTCCCGTAGACAGGCCCGCTGATGTATTTAGATCCTGTTCCGTGATCGGTGCCTTGAACCAGAGTGGGGGATGTTCTGTCTTGTATGTTGGAGATCTCATGCTCCCACACCGTCGAAGAAGCGACTCCTGTCAAGGGGTTGCAGGCAAAGTGGTTACCTAGTCCATGTGTGTTATCGTCATTTACGTCTGCTCCAGATAGTCGTCCTCCAGTCAACACGATCCTCGCACCGTTGTTACCGTACGCCCAGTTGAACGCTAGGTCTCCTCCCACCGAGAATACAGGGTCGTCTCCCATATTCTGGGCGTGGTTACTGACACTCTCCTGTATAGGACCTCCCTCAGTAACTACCTCTCTCCCTGGGTTCATGGCCTGGAACCTTGACAGCAGAGACCTATCGCTCTCTTTAAATCGGAACACTTTCACTGCGTCCACCTCCCCTGCCTGGTGTCTAACTATCGCTATGTAGCTCACTGGGTGTCTCCAGACCAGCCTGTTCAGGTAATCTTTAGTCAGAGAGTCAGCGTAGGTTCCAATGAAGACATCGTCTACCCAACCAGTGGTGAAGTCCATGACATGACCATCAGATGGGTTGAGGTTCATGGCCTGGTACCAGGTACTGGTCTTTACTCTCTCTATCTTCTCTACTTCAGTGGTCCTTGCCACTTCCATCAAACAAAACCAAAGCAGCTGGGGGATCATTTTGATCGTTCAATAAAAGTATAAAACTCACGAGGTTTTAAAAATCGGGTAACCGGAAAATGATTTTTCCTTCACCCTTTCAGTGATATATCAGTTTTTGAGGTTATTTTAATTAATGACCCACATGCATGAAAATGAATTTATAATTAAATTGTGGGCTTATCAAAAAATTAAACTGGACCTCCCCATGTTATATCACAGCACAAGAACAGAACTTACCCCTGATTTTCTCTTACAAACGTTATTAAATTAACTTATCGGATATGCTTATAATTAGTTATCGTCCCTTTATATTTTTTTAGGTAATTTGATTGGCCAACTTTAATAAGATGCGTACCGGACGTAGCATGTTAAGCTTTAGAAATCAGATCGCTAATTACAATTGTATTCTGATAAGGTAATGAAGAAAAATTGCATATTCGTTTATTTGCCAACCTAGTTGCATCTGGAATTAATCAATGTGCACCAAGACTTAGCAAACTGGCATAAAAAAACCGAGCGTGCTAAATCATAAGGGCTCCCCTGGCGAGATATCGGCAAAAAACTGTCTCAATCACGTGATATAACCATATTAGGAAGTTGGTTTGGCAACTTGTACGAACACCGATGGGACAGTAAGACAACATTAAGACAACATTAAGACAACAATAAGACAACATTAAGACAACATTAAGACAACAATAAGACAACGTTAACGCAACAAACACCAATAAGACAACAAACGATAAGACAACATTAAGACAACATTAAGGCAACATTAAGGCAACATTAAAGCAAACATTAAGACAACATTAAGGCAACATTAAGACAACATTAAGGCAACAATAAGACAACAATAAGACAACAATAAGACAAGATTAAGACAACAAACACCGATAAGACAACAAAATAGGATAAAATATTAAGACAACATTAAGACAACATTAAGACAACATTAAGACAACAAACTCAATTAAGACAACATTAAGACAACATTAAAACAACAAACTCATTTAAGACAACATTAAGACAACAAACTCGTTTAAGACTAGATTAATGCAACAAAATGTTTAGAATATGTAATATACGGCCGTGATTTCATTGCCGCAGTACACAGATTTTTGAAATTATCTGTTAAGATACTTTGGACTGCTAGTTAAAAGTCGGAAATTTAAATTGATGCTTAATTGATTTAAATGAAATAACTGGTTTACAATATAATGATGATAAATTGATACTGAAATAACTGGTTTACAATATAGAATAAAACAAATATCTTAATAACGAGTTTTAGGCTTTAGGGCGTTTCCTTGAGCATAAAGGCGTGTTAGGTCTCTATGTTTTCTGTTGCAGATATCTTTTGCCGCTGGGTATACGGTTTGGAGCGTTACTTTACGTAGCTGCAGGAACGAGCTCTCAAGGGATTGTCTGTCCACGAGTGCTGCTTCTGCAATGCACCTTTTTCTGTAGAAGTGCGATCGACAAATGCCTCTTTCTTCTAGGACTGTTGAAAGAGATTTCCCGTTGATGGTCAAGTTGAGTATTGTCCTGTATTCAACCAAAGCTCCGTCAATGCTGATGTTCCTCACTCGTGTCCGACGAGCTGCTGGAGGAGGTGGTGTATTTGGGGCTGCGGGAGGAGGGGTCGCCGGAGCTGCAGGAGGAGGGGTCACTGGAGCTGCTGGAGGAGGGGTCACTGGAGCTGCTGGAGGAGGGGTCGCTGGAGCTGCTGGAGGAGGGGTCGCTGGAGCTGCTGGAGGGGTCGCCGGAGCTGCGGGAGGAGGGGTCGCCGGAGCTGCGGGAGGAGGGGTCGCCGGAGCTGCTGGAGCTGCTGGAGGAGGGGTTGCTGGAGCTGCTGGAGGAGGGGTTGCTGGAGCTGCTGGAGGAGGGGTTGCTGGAGCTGCTGGAGGAGGGGTTGCTGGAGCTGCTGGAGCTGCAGGAGGTGGCGGGGAAGCAGGATTGGATGCAGTTGAGGAAGTG